CCCGACCCTAGCCCTCCCCGCCCCGGTGCAGCACGGCGCATCTCTCAACAGAACAGCAAAAATGCACTCGCGCGTGTCAGGACTTTCGATTACACTCTATCTCAACATTAAAAAACAAATTGAGTAACAAAACAACAACACCGGTAGCGTCGAGCCCAAAGTCAATGCCTTTGGGCTCAAGCTTACAAGCGATAGAAAGGTTGCGAGAACCGGAATTCGCACTGTTGCGCAATTATTGGATTAGTTTAAGTTCTACGAGACATTTAGCATATGAAATTCAGAAAATAATTAACACTAATCTTATCACTGTAAGCACTAATATTGCAATAAATGAACCGTATGCAGAATTTACATTTCAAACTTTTACGACAATTAATGTAGGCTGGAGTGACGTTGCACTAGTTGGCACGTCCTGTGTTGATATCAAGTATTCTTCAACATACTCGTTCATTTTGGACTATTCAAACTGACGAATCTGTAATTAAACGTCTAGTAAAGAAGTACCCGTCACCGAAACTCCCTTAACAAGGTAATAACACTCAAAACTCCGAAATAATTCACCAATAGTTACACTGGGTGTCATCATCACTGCACTATTTCCTTGACGAGTCTAGTAAGTATGGCAATTTTGAGACAAAAAAACCCTACCAGTTTTTCCCAAGAGCATCCGCTATCCATGTAGAAAGTGGGGGCGTATGAAATATATCACGAATTGCGACCAACCTAGTATATCCTCGAGAGCAGATCCGGTGTCATCAACTATGACACATGAGCTCAGCTGGTCACAACAACGCGCTCACGCGCTCATACGCACGACGTTAGGGACATGCTTCGGCTCTTCGTAACCCTCAGGTCGTCTCAGTAAAGTGAAGCATTGCAAGCAACCTTCGCCACTGAAGACGAGGCGCGCGCTGTTCTAAGCCTCCGCTCTCACGCATCGGCCGCGACGCGGGTGTTTTCTCCATTCCGGAGCAGATTGCTCTTCAAATTGATGAATTTCTCCAGACAAGATAGGCCAAACTTAATGCATGCCTTTGAAAAATTCTAGGTGAAGACACCATGCTTTCGTGGAAGGTGCATTCCAAGAACTCGCGATGAATACCCGTGGTCCTAAAAATTAGTCCTACCTGTGTACCACCAAGAGGGTGTTGTTTTTTCAAAAACCGCAAGAATTTTTCGTCAGAAAATATATTATATTCTAGACCTTTCAGGAATTAGACCAATAAATATGGCATCCCATACATGCAAATAGACCTGGCTTATTTAGCGCGTTTACGAATATATAAGAAGCGCAGATTATACTGAAGTAAGCAACACCTTCTTGAATATATGTTGTTCATCGTACTATTCACATGACACGTACAAAAAGGTCGATGCAGCATTTCCAACGCCAACTACAAGATCTGCAATGACAATTCTGTAGGCAACCAAACGGCCAAATCCCAGTCACTTTCCTCACTTCGGGCCAGAAATAGCCCGAGAGGGGGGGGGGGAGCAAAGGACTTCCGCCACAATGCTTTTCAAGGCGTGCCCACGACGCAAAGGAAATGAGAACTTCCTACCTCGAGAAAGGTTCAGGAGGCGCACAGACGGAAAGCACGCTCGCCCTCCCCCCGTCCCTACTTCCTTCGGAGTCACTGTGCCCAGGGAGGCAGACGCCAGTGGAAAGGCAGTATCCCCTCCCCCCAAGCTCGTCATTTATAACGCGTCCCTCAAAATATCATCCTCATACCAGTGTATATACGCAACATTACAAACATGATCATGAATGGTCAATACATCAAACAATTGAGTTAAGAAATGTCTATTAAATATATTATTATTATTATTATTATTATTATTAATGTTAAACTGTGGAGAAAAAACAGTCCATGTACAATGTCTAAAAAGAATGAACAGATGTATGTTGCTTAAAA